ATTTGTACTTAGATAGAGGTAGTATAGCTACAAATTTCGATCATTTCTTATGAAGGAAACCATCGAAATATGAAGGATTAGTGAAGCCTAGAGGATTTGCAAAATTCCGAATTTGCTAGTCTATGATTTTGAACACATCATTTTCTTGGAAACATGTTCTTTGTCAAGACTCTACCTGTGTTGGTTCATACTCTTCAGATGCGATCTAACCATGTCTATCGAAGGTCTTTCCGAAGGTCGCTCCGTCCAGCAGTCGCGAATCAGGTGAAGCTAAACCATCAAATAACCATCAGATATAATTTAACAAAGAGCAACCATGAAGAAAATTTATTTTCCAGTCAATTTTCCATGTTTTCCAAAAAAGAGTATTTGTGGAAAGTGCTCCTATATCGTATTATAAAGTATAGTATTTATCATGGGATGTCTGCGCACCCTTTAATTTCCAGAAAAGTTGCTACTCACCAGTGCAGGATTGATCTCAGCATCAGAGTCCACTATCAAATGTGGACGTGCGGGCATATGTCCACCTTTTTTGACCATGTAAATAATCTCTAAAAGAAAATATGAAAAATTGGTACCGGATTTATTTTGAGCTGACTTTTTTCTGTGAAAGAGAAGATATGACAGCCCCACACACAGTTTGCAGTAGTTTGCATTAGTACAGCTTATAACACTTAACGCTATACACATTATTTACATTATTCGCTTAGTTCATGTGATTGAGGGTTTCGCTCGCCTTTGATAAAAACATGGTGCATATGCCCTCCTCTCAAAACTTTGCTATATCTTTATTTTTTTACTAGATTGCTAACAGTAGAAAGCTAATATACAATTATTTTCGCCTTCAAGAACACAGAAAACTTATTGCGGATGACATTCTAGTTCACGTTTTTCCCTAGAATCTGTTCCACCTTGATATTGAATGATTACTTAACGTACCTTCCGCATCCTCCTTTCGATTATTTAGATCCCAAGGCGATGTTCGTGTGACAAGTTGAGCGCATATGATACCAAAGCTAAAATTATGAAACTCAAATCATAGTTCAAAGGAATTTGTAATACAGCAAGGTGCGCTGCTAACCCTACTCTGAACATGAAATTATTTCCGCACCAAATCAGATAGATTTCCAGCATTTTACTTTTTTGGAAGTGCCCACATTATTTTAATCTTTCTTTCAAAAAGTTTTGGTTAATTGATACACTACCTACCTGTAGATATCGCTTTCTGACGTGGCTTGTGAATCAGATTTTCGTAGCAGTTCAGGCGCCGTCCAAAGCAGATCTTAATTCCAACATGCAGAGCTTTTACCAAGCACGACTTTCACTTACCCTTAGCACTCCTTTTATCGAGGACCCTTATAGTCGCGAGACCATAATTTGATATCTTCACCTGCCAGCGATCATCTACCAGACAACATAGTGAAGTTAGAAATCCGTGACAGTGTAGAAAGGATCTGTGTATGAAAGACAGCCCCTAAATTACGACGTGGAGAACGGTCCCTGTTTAACCAGCAATTCACAACTACTTACATTTGCTATATCCTTCAATAGTGAGAATATGAAGAAGCTATCCATTGTTAGCGAGCCCTTCAGAATGACGTCATTGAGGCTTCCCCTTGAGCAAAACTTCCAGACCGACAATAGCTGGGGACCATCCAAGCACAGGCCAATAAAGCGATTGAGATTGTCGTGTTCCAGTTCACGCATCTTAACATTTGTGACTGCTTATGCGCAAATAAGGAATATTCACATACAACTTTGCAAATTGCTCGACTCGGAAAAAATAAGCTCGAGGCAACATGATTGTGGAATACGTTGAGCGTACCGGTGAAATACACCCAGTCACAGGAGCTCTCACTTTGGTAAAACAAAGAAATTAGATAATTAATGGACACACCTTTCTTATCACCGGATAATCTTGTGGTTCCACCCTAGACTTTGTTTCATGTTTCATAGCTGCTACTTGTTCTTTCTGAAAATAAAAATTCTCTAGTTAGTGCTCAAAAAAGCATAAACTATCATCTCAATATACCAAGCCCATAATTCGAACATTCAGAACTTGCGTGAGCTTTGCACGGTAAGTTAAATTGACATGATGATTGCTATACTCATTCTGTTTAGAAATGTCTTCTTTCTAATAGGTCTTCTTGGAGATCAAATCCCAAAATTCTGTAACTCCGGAAAGGCGAGGTGGGCGGAGAAGGAGGAGGAAGCAGAGCTATTTCACACTTTTGTAGGCAGGCACGTGTCACACCTACCTCTTACCGCAATGCCACCGTGTGATGTTACGATTCTTTATGGAGCACTACCAAATCCGTAGTTGAAAGCATTTCACAACAAGAAAGATCAAGTAAACAAAAATATTTGAGGGATCGGTACGTTAGACTAGTAAGTGAGCATGTGTCCAACGTCAGTCGATGGATACCAGTGGCGTACCCAGAAATTTTTTTCGGGGG